ATTTATTTCCCATCACTGCTCTTTAATCTGAATCAGGGAACATTGTGTTGTAGTCAGGAATATCCTGCTCGAATTAACATCATCCGGCTGCATGTGGAATGAGTAATGACTCTTAAGTGCAATTAACCAGACGGCATGTTGAGAGACTCCTTAAAGCAGAGGTGCCCCGTGGAGGTTGTAGGATTGTTTCTTTTCTAGCATTGTTGTTTTACCCTTGCATTCCCAGTCCTTTCTTTCCCTTGAGAAACGTAAGTCACTACTGCAGAGCCGCTGACAGCCAAGGGGGCTTTTAGTGCTGCGTCAGTCATTATGGTTATTTTGTTGGGGACTTGATGGTAGCCTGCCCTAAAACATCAGGTTTTCTCTCCCTCCTGTTTCCTCTTCCTCCCTCCCCTCTCTCTCTCTCCTCTCCCCTCCTTTGTCTTCCTCTCTCTTCCACACACACCCCCCCACAACCCTGACAAATGGTTGTTCTGTCACTTAGTTGGTGTGCAGGAATGGGCTGTACTATCTGGGTACTGTAAATATGATAGTTGCTAATAAGTACAATAAAGATTTCAATTGAACCTACCTAATGTATTGTTAGAGACAACAAGGTGCAGGGCTGGATGAACACAGCAGGCCAAGCAGCATCATAGGAGCAGAGAGGCTGACGTTTCGGGCCTAGACCCTTCATCAGAAAAGGGGGAGGGGAACGGGGTTTTGAAATAAATAGGGAGAGAGTGGGAGGCGGATAGAAGAGGGATAGAGGAGAGGATAGGTGGAGAGGAAACAAACAGGTCGAAGAGGCGGGGATGGAGCCAGGAAAGGTGAGTGTAGGTAGGTCAGTCCAGGGAGGACGGACAGGTCAAGGGGGCGGGATGAGGTTGGTCGGTAGGAGATGGAGGTGCGGCTTGAGGTGGGAGGAGGGGATAGGTGGGAGGAAGAACAGGTTAGGGAGGCAGGGACGAGCTGGACTGGTTTTGGGATGCGGTGGGGGGAGGGGAGATTTTGAAACTTGTGAAATCCACATTGATACCATTGGGCTGCAGGGTTCCCAAGCGGAATATGAGTTGCTGTTCCTGCGACCTTCGGGTGGCATCGTTGTGGCACTGCAGGAGGCCCAGGATGGACATGTCGTCTGAGGAATGGGAGGGGGAGTTGAAATGGTTCGCGACTGGGAGGTGCAGTTGTTTGTTGCGAACCGAGCGTAGGTGTTCTGCAAAGCGTTCCCCGAGTCAGAATGGATAACACCTAGATT